GGGGAGGGGATCTTCGCGGAGGGCCGGCTGGATCCCGTCATACGGCGCTCTCATAAATTATCGCTAGTTGCCGGGTAACATGTTATTTGCCACCGAGCTCCACAAATGAGTTCACTTTGTATTTAATTACTCGAATCACGCCCAGGGCGTATCCCGATGGCGGACCCACCCGGACCGTCTCGCGCGCGGTTTCTCTACCTTCGTTACTTCTCTCTTCCCTCTTTCGCTGTTCGCCCCACGATTCCTTTCCCCGAGCTGATCGTACGCAAGGATCCGCGTGTGATCCCTGTCCCACGCTCCCTGTGTCCCCGAAATTTATCGTCGTCGTTTACACGGGCAGCTAATATATGTCTGCCGGAGTTTTCCGCTTCTACCTGACCGCGTCGCTTCATGTTTCTCAAGTTTTCTTTTGATGGTCAATGATAAACCGAATTGTACTTGGCCTCAGTACCGGCGAGTGTGCTCTCTTTGCATCCTTTGGATCTTTCAGCACGTTGTTTCACGTATTTTCGCAATCCATTTTCCGAATTAACACTAAAGCATTATAATTATTACTTACTTGTCTTCTACAATTAATACAAAGAGACTGATGAATGTACACAGAATAAAATATAAAATCGGGCCTGAGAAAGCAAAATTTCAAGTAACAGTTTGTATACTGTTTTTATTATATTTACGATTAAATAAAAAGTCAAAACTCTCTCAAAACGACTTTCTTTTCGGATATCCAAGGTAAATCATAAAATATTGTAATTCATCACAATGTCAGCGTGTTTTACTTTGAGTATAATTAAAAATTACGAGAGATTGTTTCCCTAAACCACACACACGAGGAACAGAAATGGCAACAACAAGATCTTGAAACAGTCAAGATGACTCCATCAGGCATTCTAGTGTTAAGCGAAATGTCTCTTCGGTAACATTTACGTCGTCATGCGTTCTGACCAGTTTATATCGCCGAATAATGAGCCATATGATTTCGATTTTCCAGAGAAGCTGTCCGTCTCGACGAGCGCGTTATCTCGTTCGTTCTGATTGCGCCGACAAGTTTCTGGCAAGTCGAGAAGCCTAGAATGAGTGGGTTGAGCGCGCGCAACTCCGATGTTTTGGGCAGGTAGATAGAAAGATATAAGAGGTGCAGGTATATATATATGTATATATATATGTATGTATATATATATATATATATGTGGATAGGGCAAGGGCAGGCAGGTAGGCCAGACTTGCGCTTCGCCGTCCTAATTATTGGTTCCACCACAATTCCATCCTGGAACGAGATGATAATAGATGAAAGCGATCAATTTTTAAATTGCGCCTGATGAACGGAAAAAAAGCGAGAATATCGCGCGGGATATTGGAGAAAATGGGGAACGCGGTGCGAGAAAAATCTCACAGCACCTGGTATCGATGCACCTCATACAATAAGCTACTCGCGAGAAGAATACTTCTTCCTTTTTTCTTCGTGAATTCTTCGTTGAATACCGCGATCGTCTCGTCGTCTCGCGTCTACATCGAAGTATCGATGTTTATTTATTTTGTTATTTCCGCTTTATTAGAAGCGGATTATCAGGAGAGAATAATCCCTTTGGCTTCATAAAAGTTGCCGACTTACATTAGAGAGTTGTCGCGCCTTCGTTCGCGCATCTTCCGGCGGCGCGTGGTCGCAACAAAATTAATATTGTCGGCCAAATATTTACGTCTGATCCTTGCTTCAATTTGCTTGTTTTGCTGATGGGTTAGTCTCCCTTTACCTCGTCTAGTTTCTCCCTCTGGCCTTCTAATCTTCTCGCGACGGCTCGGAACACGCGCGAAGCGCTGGTGGACGCGCCTCGAGTCGCAGGTAGCGCGTTTCGCACGGGCGTTCTCGTTGAAGATACGGAAGATTTTTAAGTAGAAGATTATCGTTCCGCTACTTAGGCAGAATTTTCGGGCGGCTGTGAGGCGATCCTGAAATCCAACACGCTCGGAACGGGGAATGACAGAGATCGGATTGCCACGGGACCACCGTCGCGGCCGCCGCAAACTTTATCCTACCTGTTTTCGCTAATTGAGCGAGTAAAGATGTAACTGGACCTTACGGACCTTAAAGTATTTGCACCCTTTCTGCAGATACTATCCGTTGCTATCTCGGGAGAGGGGCCGCGGGTCTTTTTCGATCTTGTGGCGCACGAATGCACATCAAGATGCATTCCGAAAGAGGAACTTCTGGGGTAGACAAGAGGACGAAGCGTTTTCTCTTAGAAGTATGCGTGAGGAGAGGTGTGCCCAAAGGATAAGATTCGTTTTTAAATTCAAATAATACAATAAGCCGGGAATATAAACAATTTTGTATGTTTTGTATCATGACATATCAGCTTTTACATGCGACGTGAAAAGAGAGAATAATCTTTCCAAACTTCTACCTCGTGATATTGTACGGAAAATGTTCCATATATCTTCCTTCCATGTAAACTGTGTAATCATCAAACAGCCACAATATTGCCGGTTGTATATAATGACAATTAATCGATTGCTGGTGAAATTCTGAAGTATGTACGGAAATTGAGTAAGGATATATTCAGTTTCCCTTATAGAAATATCATACTAAGAATCATTGATAATTACTTATTTTCAGTATTAAAAATACTGGATAATAAGTAATTATCAATGATTCTTAGTATGATATTTCTATAAGGGTTGTAAACACTGAAATAATCTTCATGTCGAATGCAACACATAAATGTCAATAAGTCAGTCATGATACTAATATACAAACTTATTTATGTCTAAAAAATGATTGAGTTTTCAATCTATGTTTACTAAGGCCTCAGTATAGTGCATACTATCTATCGTATGATTGCTGAATGCTTCTTTTTAACATCTTGTATATATGTGCCAAACAGCAATAATGCACTGTTAAATCTGTAGTGTCAAATTATACTCAATTTGAGTTATTTTTAACCATTCCTATAAGTCGCCACTGCTCCTACTAAATATGTCGTTAATTTAACTAATGTAATGGAGTTAAATAATTTAACTTAAGAAATGTATTAAATTTGACTAAAATTTATTTTTTATTATGTGCACGTTAATGTAACCTTTGTTTTAGTAAAAAATGACAATATTGTTTTAAATGGATTGATTAGATGTGTTTGTTTTTTTAAACACATGTTTTGTGTTAAAATAATAAATTTTGACACACATGATAGTTAAAGATAACTAAATATTATTTAACTCAAGAAATTGGTTTAAATTTGACCCTTCAATATTTAAGTGTGTAAGCGTGGAACTCTTCTTCCATGATTTGGACGACAATTCCAATCGATCAAGCACATTTTCTCTCTGGCTGAAATTAAATGAAATTAAATTAAATCAAATTAAAATCAAATAAATCAAATTAATATGGTTGCGGCAACCATACTAAATGAAATTAAATCAAATAAAATTTACGCACATATATGCCAACTGGCAATGGTGGAAGTGTGAAACTCTTATAAGCGCTTGCGCCACGATCTGGTCGACTATTCCGATGAGCCAAGCATACGTCAAGACGATTTTCCGGTGTTGCGCCTGGGGTGGCTCTCGAGAACATATCGGGCATAGAGCGAGCGAGTGCCTCGACAGCAGGTAGCGAGCATTATTACGAGGAGGGAGCCCCGTAGTCGTCGTCATCATCGTCGTCGTACCATCGTCGCGTTCGTGTGCGCGCGTACGTAGCGCCTAAAGGGCCACGTAATGGCTACGCGGTTCCATATGCGAGATCGTGTATGACGGAGGCGCCGGGCCACCTGTTGCGGCCCCTGCTCGCGTACCCCGTACCTGGCTTCGACTCCGGGCCCCGAGCTGTCCCACAGAGTGGGGAGTCGCGCTCGACGGCGATTGGTACCGCGGCACGTGCTACGCGAGGGTGCCTCGCTCCGCGAACGCATAAATCTCCCGGCGCCGTTCCACCCGACTTCAGAACCACCCCGAGGCTCGGCTCGGCTCGATCGTCTGTGTTTTCGTATCTCACCGTATCTCAGCCACACGCAGAGTACCTCGGACATCGCGCTCCTCTTGTAGTACAATCATAGTACCTGGTCGTGGTCCTCGCTTCGTCAAGGGGACGAGGCTGGTCTTCGAAGTTCCGAAGGGAGAAGGCAGGCTTGAGTAGTCGGTTGTTGAAGTGCGGTTTCAGTGAGAGAGGAGCAACGCAGAGCGGGAGCGGAATCATCGTCGTGCGCGGAACTCGCCGTGTCCCAGACGAGCGAGACGGCCGGTCTCTTGGCAGCCGCAATGGAACTGCAGGAGATGTTTCGTTACGGATACATGTTCCCGCCGCGGGAGGACGAGCTCGCGGGCTGCGTGTACCTGGACCTGCCGAATTACACGAAGGATAAGGCCGGCCTGCCGCCCGTCAGTACCCTCGCCGTGCCGCAATGCCTCGTCTACGACAGCAACTGCAGCGACGGCTGGCACACCCCGAGCCCCTCCGCCAGTTTGCGCTCCGTCAGCCCAGCCACGACGTTGTCGATCTCTTCAGAACCGGAGACGATCAACGCGCCTCCGGCGACGTATCGTCTGCTGGGCTCAGTCAAGGACAAGAGGAGCGTGAACAAGAGGAACGTCTCGGCGACGCCTGGCCTCGGCAGCAAGCCTCGGATGCGCGTCGACACGATGGACCTGGCCGAGGAGATCATCAACTTGGATGGCGAGCGCGACGCCGCGGATATCGGCGCGGACGCCGACGGAGACGCCGACAAGACGCAGTCCTGTCGCGGCAGCGTCATCAGCAGCGGCCTGTCCGACCGGACGATGGACGGCGACAGCGAGGAGGACACGGAGATCAGCGACGGGGCGGACCATCCGGAGGCCGGCGACGGGCCGCACGCCGCCGTCGCCGACGCGCGCGACACCCGCAGGAGAGGCAAGTACGTCAATTCCACCATCGTCAGGAAGCGCCGGCTAGCCGCCAACGCCAGGGAGAGGAGGCGGATGCAGAACCTGAACAAGGCGTTCGACAGACTGCGCACTTATCTGCCTTCCCTGGGAAATGACAGACAGTTATCGAAATATGAGACGCTGCAGATGGCTCAGTCCTACATAACCGCGCTTTACGACCTGCTGCAGTGAGCACGAAGGCGACGAGTGCGCAAGCTCGCTCTCTGAAAGTCGGTAAGCTCGCGAGGCTTCAAACACACAAAACGTATTATCAGGGCCGATTTTTCGATCAGTAGTTTAAACTTCGATTTTTTAATTTAAATTTGACTAAACTCTCTGCGTAAATACCTCATTGTTAGAATCGAGTTCAAACTTGGAGCTGTAATCTTATAATTTAATAATCTAAATTTGAACTGCTATTGTGAAAATTCGGTTTTTATGCAGTTCAACAGTCTGAGTCCGAGTTTCGAACTACTATTAAAAATTGACTGTTGTAAAGTTTGAACTCGAATCTAAGTTTGAATTATTATTGAGAAATCAATCATTATAGACAACGTAACTTGAATCTAAGTTTGAACTACTGATTGAAAAATTGGAGTTCTCAGAGTTTGAAATTAAATCTAAGGTTAAACTACTATCAAGAAAAATCGGTTTTTGATGTTATACAAACAACTCCAATAATACCTTCTTCTTCTGGCTGAAGTATTTTCACTTTGAGACATCATATCTACATATTTTTGTATCATGATTTGATCAGTTGGTGGAAGTTGATTCTAAACTACTACTGTAAAGTCGACCTTTATCATATAATGTGGCCGAGTTGCCGCGACTCTCCTCAAAATTAATAGCACAAAATATGTGTACACGAGATTGAAGGTATTTAGTAGAGTTCCCTCTGTGCGAAGAGATATCGCGGCGATAACCGAAGATAAACAAGTCGCGGAAATTGACTTGGCACTGTCAACGGGAACGAGAGATGCTCGATCGTCAAAGCTCGCAGAGTGAGTTCTCACGTTTCAGAGAAATGCCTGAATAATATTTATATTTATTCGAATGTATACGCCGCAGTTGTAAGATATCGTAGCGTCTGAAGATGTGCCTTTTGCAACAAATAAGTACAATTCGTACCTGTAGCCGGTAAACTCGACAAAACATTCATTCTGTAATCGTTTAAGTCGATAAGAAGCAGCGAAGAGTGCTTCTTAATCTGCCGTGTCGACCAATCTCTTTTTGATGTAATTTTTTCTAGGTTGCATTCCAAAAGGTCACTTTTTGAAGAAAGGTAAACTTTTTGAGGAAGATTTTTGCTCAATACCTTAGAGTTCACATTACACATACTATAGAGTTTTGAGTAAAATTTTCCTCAAAAAGATCGTTTTGGAATGCAATCCCAATATCGTATTGGTACTCTTTACGCATACAATATGGTTTACTGCTGGTCGCAATGGAATTCACGACGTAAACTTGACCAGTGATGTTCTCACTGCCATCAGATTTCATTGATTATACATAGAAATACGCTTTTAATACATGCAGAAACTCTGCTATTGTAGATATCGCGAGATGTAATGACTGCGGATTACTGCGATCTCGTATAGAGTATTAGCAATATACGTGTAAATAGATCTTGTACATAAGCGTTCTATAATCTTACGTCTTTGTTACATCGTGTAAGACTGTAAATTTTGTAACATAGCATTTGCCGAGTTGGTTAGTCTAAGCACTGTATCATATCTCTCGCGCTGAACTCTGTGTGTATACTATAATTTATTTTTAATACGACGAAATCGTAGCAGCGTATACTGCGAGACTGAAGCGCGATGTATATTTTACGAAATAAAATTATTTTATCATAATTGCGAGTGTTTGTGTCTGTCATTGTGCTTGAAACATCCCACAACTCAAAATTTCGTCGAAGAAGTTCTCGTCCTCGTTGAATGTCGTTTTAAATGTAAATTCGACGAACTGACATTTCTTACCTCGTTCTTTCTCTTTCTCTCTTTCTTTTGTTACAATCTCGCGCATCATTGTCGATATTTCGACGTCGATTATCTCGATGCACTTTCCAATGCATTTCTACGTAATTTCTCGAAGCACACGAATTTAGCGGCGCGAATTCGGGGTCGAAGACTGGATAAATATCCGTCGAAGAAGAGAGAGAGGAGCACCACCATCGGTGGTCCGGTCGTTACACGAAACCCGCGCGACGCGTCGGTGCCCGGTTTCATCGCAATTTGAGAACTTGCAGACTTCTTCCTTCGACGATGACTCTTCCCCTCTTCACCCTACTCTTCGCCCATCTTGCGCGCTCTGTATATTTTCGGCATATTATCTCTTTTCGTGAAATTTTCATTTGAGGAGACACTAGCGCTCGACCAGATATAAGGTAAACCTATAATATGTACGTATGATACAGAAAGTTAATCGAACTAACAACGCGCAACAGAAATTTCGACAATCTCCATCATTTTAGATGATTATATATGAACCTTTTCTTCCCGCACGGAAAAAAAGGTTTGGTTGAATTAACCAAATATCTGGTCGAATATAAACGATCCAAAAATTCCGATTGAAGTGCACCGAATTCTGTTTAAGTTAACAAGATTTTTGGTTGACTTAAACAGAATTCGGGTTACTTTAATCGGTATTTCCGGATCGTTCATATTCGACCAGATATTTGGTTAATTCAACCAAATTTTTTTTTCCGTGCGAGTATGCAAAATTTGGCCTAGATCGGGTTTAGGAGTGTGTAGGGAACACACAGACAGCAGACAGACATACATTCTATCTTATACATATAGATTGCAATAATTTCTCCTTACGAGTTCGACATATCGCGTTAACGCGCAAAGGTGATATCCGCCAACGTGTTGCCTGTCCTAATTAAGCTAACGATAGAAAACTTCCCGCGCGATAATCCTATATAAAACAGCCTCGAGGATTAGATTTATGCTAATGATGATTAATGTTTATCGACGGCGTTGCCGGCATTCAGGCCGCGCTTTCTCTGTATCACCTGACTCCATGCACAGCCTGCATATTATTTGCAGAATCACGGAACTCGAAACGCATGTTACACTCCGAGCAACGGGGACAGCAAGGCTGCCAGGCTTTTGCGAAATTGTTCGCGAGCGAGCCGAGCGGAAGACGCAAGTGTGTCTCTGGTAACGACCTGGCATAGAAGCCGCCCGCAGCGTGCAGAAAATGTCAGCGCGGGTACTCGCTCACTCCAGCTTTCCCCTTTATTTCATTCGCACCTATCGTTTTTCCCGGCGAATTACGGCACTGCGTAAATCTTGGCGTGGCCGGCCGCTGCGAAGCGAGGAGCGCGCACGCTTACGACTCCTCCGTGACACCTGCAATTGCCCGGAGAATCGTTCAGGATTTATTTAAGGGAGGATAACCGCCCGCCGCTCCGTCCCTACCATTCCCCTCTCGTTATCTGCGAGGCTACTTGTACCGTACTGCTGGAAAAGCAGTCCTCACCGTTGCGGCGGCGAGTACAAAATTCTCCGAGACGCACACGACGATGCCGCAGAGGAGAGGTCGCGGTGTGGCTGAGTAAATATCGCTGAGGAGCCATAAACCGCCACGTGTTTCCGAGCGACAATAGACCACAGAAGTCCCCTGGCCCTTTCGCATTTAGCGCTATTTGGGGGTAGAGCAAACTTCGGCTCCGTCAGGACACATCCGGCGAGCTACCTTCTCGACCACGAGAACGGCGAGAAAAGTAGATCCCAAGTGCTAACTTGTACAGCAACATCTCCCGTCTTCACCTGAGAACATTCGCGCTTCGAGTTGTCAGTCGCTTTATCATCGCGCGGTAGGAAGAAATAGTTTTCTAACCTTTCACAAATTTTCTTCCGCAAGTAGACAAATGATAAGAGAGAATATGTACTGAGAAAAAATTTATTAATCAATGTATTAAAGAGATTAGAAAAAGAGTATTAAAAAGATTATTAAAAAATATTAGATTATTAAAAAACGTATATTAAAGAGATTATTTAAAAAATCTCTTTAACACTGGATCTTGCATGTACAACAGAAGGAGTTTCCCAAATATCGCTGGAGGAGAAATGGAACGATTTTGAATGGAGATTTTCGTCACAGTTTTCCAAAAATTTGTGAATAACTCTTTAAGAAAATCCGAGAAAGGGGCCACATACAGTACTTCTCAGTAATCGAATTACGTACTGATTACGAATTACTCTACTGATGTCACATTCACGTTACACATCCTGTTACGCATGCCCGAAGAGGAGGGGACTCACGTCTAAGTAACGACGCTACCTCCTGAGGAGGACGGCGGGGCCTCACCGCGGAGGAGGGAATACACCGACGGGCACGGTCGGTTGTGCCGAGGTGGAGGCGGGGACAGGTCGTTTTGGACGAGAGAACGTAAATATTTCCCGAGGCGATTAATTCTGCGAGTCGACTACCACCTTCGCTTTGTCAGCAGGCTCCGTTCTGACAAAGGGGACTCCACCAGCCCAGCGGGCCAGTGGCTACTTTCGGGGTACTTCGCGGTCTCGTCCGTATGGGAAGGGTTGCGCGCTGAGGGCCTTGGAGCGGCCGATCGGCCGGGGGCGGGGTAAGGGGGAGGGGGAGGATAAAGGGACAAACGCCGCCGCGTCGTTGTCTGATCTTGGAGATTGCTTTATTTGAGAGACGGCCTAACGCGCGCATACGCAGCCGAATACTTTGGTCCTCGGCGTCACGGCACTCCCCGCAACTGGCAGCGAGGGCAGGGGGAGGGGACTGGAAGGAGGGTCGAGAGGCGAGTAACGCATTATAAGCATCGGGATAATGCAATCTCGCGACCGGATCGTGCGATAAATACGATTCGCCCGGCCCAAAATTTGTCCCGGTGGCCGTGCGCATTCGGCAGCCCGCGCACGCAGCACCTGTGTCTCCGTCCTCGTCGTCCTTTGCCCTCCGCGGGGACAGTCCGGCGCTCCCGTCGGTTAAACGGTAATTTATGAAGGCGGTGAGTGACCGGAATCGTAGGATCGCGACGGCGGAAATAGAGAGGACCGGGGCTAGATGTTCTACATTTCAGTATACTGAAATAGTAGTAAGCAAATTGCCAAAAATTAGTCCAAAAAAAAAATCAAAATTTTTAATTATTTTGATAAAAATAATCCAGTAAGCAAATTGAGCGCAGACTGCGCGCAGATTGGCAGCAAGTTTGATGAAAAACCCACAGCAAAACCATAGCCATCTGTGTCTACATTAGGCTACGGTTTTGACAGATCTTGCTGTCGGGCAATTGGTGCCAAATTTGCAGCAAAAACCGCGCAAAGCTTGCAGCGCAGCAAGGTCTGCGTGGTTCTGTCGCCAATCTGCCGTCAAATCGCTACAAGCTCTGCGCGGTCTTTGCTGCAAATCTGCAGCAATTATCCGACAACAAGCTCTGTCGCATATCTAGCGGCAATTTGGCAGCAAGATTTGATATAACAGATCCTGCATCAAATTTGTTATCTATTTGTCATCAAAAGTTGATAGCAAGCTCTGCTCGAAATCTGCTCGCGCAAGTTTGGCTATCTGGGTATTTCTACTGTAAGTATCTATTATTACATGATATGCATACATTTCTCTATCCTTAAATATTAATTTATAAGATGTTTTGTTACATTATCGAGAGCAGTTTCTCACGCGCAATATTGCAGTGCTCACTAAGGATAGTAACCTTCCTTCCTTTTATTGTGTCTGCGTCTTTAATTGATTTAAGTGAAGACACTGAGACACGTGGCGGAATGAAATTTGGCCACGTGGACAAGACGATCAGAGGGAAACGGCGAGCAGAGTGCACGTCTACTTATGCACCCGCCGCAACGGAATTACTCGCAGCGCAGACTGCAACATAAATCAATCGCTCTTCGCCGACGACATTCGCTGCTCTTCGCTCGCGCGACCAGCTCGCGCACACAACGTGCCTCCGCCCGTTCAAATTCGAGTCTGCCGCATAATGCATTCGATGAGCTCGTCCGAGAACATCGAGCTCGTCCTCAGGGACAATATTTTTATCTTGCATACAGAATGCACATGGATAGATAAATTTATAAACTGAGCCTTAAAAGCGACGTTTCGCGTCTAAAAATCGACGATAATTATTTATAAATAATTATAAATGTATAAAAATGTATAGTAAAATTTTCTTAAGATTAAAAAAAAAATGTATATTTTTTTATTTGAAAAAGGTTTTATATTAAAAGTAAGTATTGTTAGTATCTATCGAATAAATATTTATTGTTTCTTATCTTCTCTTAGTTTTCTCTTAGTTTGTCATTCAAGAAATAATATATTATTACAAGAAGTTAATACTGCTTTCGCCAAGTTTCGAAGATCTTTTTAGTACGTGTTCAGACATCCGTCCTTTTATTTTAAAGCCTGATTTACAATGTGTTCTTTGCTTCCTCTTTCTTTCTCTTTATCTCTTTCCAACTCAAATCTTAAATCAGAAAAAGACAGAGCACGAAGAAACAGGATCAAATTTAAAAATTTAATCTACAATGTGCTCTTTGCTTCCTATTTCTTGTTCTCTGTCTTTCTCTAAGTTAAGGCTTAAGGTTTGAGTCAGAAAGAGATAAAGAGAAAGAAAGAAACAGGAAACAAAGAACATATTGTGGATTGTGGAAACTTAAACTAGAAAACCAGAAAATAAGAAGCAAAAAGCAAAGAGCACATTGTAGATTAAGTTTGAAGCTGAAAACGACATACCATTCCTCGACGAGTGTTTCTCGCGAACGCTTCGATGTCGCCATGTATCTCGGCCAGTCAAGGTGGTCCGACGGAAGTCGATCGGGGATATTGTCTAAGAAGAAAGGAAAACAGATCCGGAGAGAGAGAGCGATCTTTGGCACACGAGGTGTACGATCGCGCCGCGATCCCACGACACAATATCTCTACGATGTTACGTGCCTGCCTGCGTGCGTGCGTGCTCCCGCGAACGCTTCCGGATTATAGACGCAGGTAGACGGACAGCTCGATCCTGGAGAAGGCAATGAGCAACACGACCGCCCATTGTGAGCGCATCGATGATCCTGCGCTCGCGCGTCTCAAATCGTAAATCGACGTAGCATCCTGTACCTGCGATCATTCCCCGGGACGCATTTGACGCCGTGTACTCGGGATCTCACCCTCCAAGAATCTTGCCCTACAATAGCCCGCGGCTGTTTAATCCCCTTATTCGTGAATTGCTTCTATGCGATGAAAGATATATGATTTTTGAAAAAAGTCAGCCCCGATTACTTTTAAGGGACACTTTCGCGCACAGCAACGGATTCTGCAGTAACAACTCGCGGAAGAAAAATCGAAATCCCGAAATTTGAGAGGCTGAACAGCTACAATCCCGAAAACTGGAGATCGAGACAAAATGCATTGAAATACAATTTTTCTGAAATATTTAAAGCATGCACTAAAAAAATGATTCGATAAAAAATTAACAAACATATATTTCCGATCAAATTCCTATTAATTTTTATATCCGATCAGGATATCCGATTAAATTTAATCGGCTACTTTCGATCATAATAGCATCACATAAACCGATCAAAAAATTATGAATCAATATTTCTCATGTCTCCGTCGAAAGAAAGTAATCGTTGCGTCGGCGGAACGGTCGTTAGGGAAAATTAAAACTCAATCGAACGTAAAGGCGAGTTTGCGAAATCCCGAAATTTGAGAGGCTGAACAGCTATAATCCCAAAAACTGGAGATCGAGACAAAATGCATTGAAATACAATTTTTCTGAAATATTTAAAGCATGCACTAAAACAATGATTCGATAAAAAATTAACAAACATATATTTCCGATCAAATTCTTATTAATTTTTATATCCGATTAAATTTAATCGGCTACTTTCGATCATAATGGCATCACATAAACCGATCAAAAAATTATGAATCAATATTTCTCATGTCTCCGTCGAAAGAAAGTAATCGTTGCGTCGGCGGAACGGTCGTTAGGGAAAATTAAAACTCAACCGAACGTAAAGGCGAGTTTGCGTTCCCGGCCTCCCAGGGGACACCTACTCGTCGGAGATCAACATCCTTCCCATGGCACTCTGATCGTCAATCGACGTTACGCCATGCACGATGCACCGTGCTGGAAAACGAGTCGGCGACGGCGTCGCCGGTGGAGCGGTTTGTTTGCACGATCTGTTTCGAGGCCGAGTGAAATCCGCTTAATGCGATCGAGCTACGGTTCGGCGATCCTTTCTCCCGGTTCCGCGCGGAACGGGCTTCCGAGCCGCAGCGCGTACCGAAGGGTCGGCTGAAGGAGCTCTCTTTCTCTCTCTTTCTCCCTCTCGAGTGGCCCACGCGCAAGCGGGGTGGCAAAAGGGTGGCAAAGAGTCCCGGCGACTTCGGGGAGGCACGCGCGACACGCGCCCATGCGTCTCATTCCCCCTCTTGGCCACTCGAGACCGCCCCAGGGACATTAATCCCGTTTAATCAAACACCGGCCAGAGCGCTAACCCTCGTCATTATGTTTGCTATTCGTTGCGCGGGGTCGGAGTGCCGTCGTGTTTGCGCGGGCATTGTTGAGAAAAGCGGGACTTTTTTGGCGTAATTGATCGGCGTTGCTTCCTCTTCGGAGAGGCCTGACTCGCGAGTATTTCGCCGGCACTACGCGATTCACACCGACGCGATCGCGGCCCGTGACTTTGTCTCGTCGGGGTGAGATCCATTCGACTACGACTCCGTTACTTCGTTACTTGCACTTTATTTTAATCCAATTATTTTGCCACAATTATCCGTTATTACATGAGTATAAAAAGTGTCTTGTTGTTATCTGTCGACAGGCTTTGTTTCTTATTTCTCAGTCGTACATAACTCGATATTGTTAGTGCGTCGACATTCTTGTTAATGAGAGAAGTGTCAATACAGGGGATTTCATTATTATGTAGGGGAGACCGGGGCTAGATACCCTGTATTTTAGAATTTCAAAGTTACAGCTTCTCAACCAATTGTTGTGATTGATTATATAAGCATGATAGAGGCAACTTTTTTTTAATGTCCGCCATGATCTTGTTAACGGTGTATTCTGTTTTGTAATATCCTGAAGATATCGCAAATAGAGATGGGACATCGAAATAATCGATTATAAGCTATAATCGGTATCGGTATCGCCCATCTCTAGCAGATACAGGGTGTTTACAATAATTCGAGTTGGAGTTAGTACGAGTTAGTTTCACTAGGGCCGAAAAATGTGATAGGCACAAGCATCTAGTATTTTCATGATTTATGACAACTCAATACTGTCCGATAAATCGAGTAGAGTAGAGTTAGAACAGCATAGCGGATAGTATATGTATAAGAATTAACAATATCAGGTAACATAGTTTCGTAAAATATATAACAATAATATTACGAATCAATGAGTTGTTACAATGAGTTGTTAGAAAAATTAGAAGCACTAAATTAAATTATGAAAAGGTATCATGTATTTATAAAATATTCAAAAGTAAAAAACAATTATTCTAACCTATTATTAATCTATTATTATTGAATATTTCAC